TTTATATATGAATTTACTACCAGATCTGTTCAATTTTTACACTTGGTATTCCGCGTCAAATGTATTCCGGCAATACATATTTCATCAGTGACTGGTTGAATAATGATTTGTTCGATTTAAATTTATTAAACATTTAAATTTCGAGTTTTTAAGAACCGGCAAGATTTTTTTCTTGTATTTTTCAAGCTTTAAATGTTCATAATAATGAATTTCCGAAAGCAACGTAATTTTTGTAGTCAATGAAGCAGTTAAAGGACAATTGGCTAGAGGCAACGACAATGTAATAACTATTGTTTACGGTAAGTTATTAATTAACTGTTTTCCTCTCATTCAACTTTTTGCCAAACATTAATTAAAAATCCCTCATACAAAGTGTTCAATTTAGCTCACGTTTTTTATTATACACTTGCAATTTTTGAGGACATGTGATGGCATGCGACAATTTCGGAATATCTCAAGCCAAAAAAAGGAACAAATTTAGGGATTAAAAGAACCTCCAACTAGACCTTAATGTTCATTGAAAATATCAAAGAATTTTTCAAATTACTGATTTATTTTCAATATCTTTTTTCAACATGACTTACAATAAGCGCATTGTAATAATTAAATAACAGTACATATAATTATGGTCTGTTTCCTGACGTTGACTGATTAAATCTCTGGCAATGTCGAGTATGAAAGCATGTGTGGGCTACAGGAGCTGTTCATTAGAATGAAATAAATCATGATGATGATAATCTCCAGTTACTTTCATTAATCGTATTATATCATATAACAGTAAACCTCTGTACAATTTGAACGGTCGTCCTTGATGCTTGAATTTAGGTACTTGACTTGATTATTAAATGTTGTCCGTATTAATGTTAATTTTGCTATCGCTTATTGAACAACAATCGTGTCAATATTTTTTTCCTTAATCGTTGCAGTTTTTCAACAGAGAAAAGACTTATTTGATAATCAGAGGATACACGACACAAATAACTACATCATTTTACAGAGAGTCTTGGAGTTTTATTTTCTTTTTTTTTTATTTGTTAATTGGCTTTTCAATGATTACTTAGACACCAGACCAAGACGCATCATTTCTTTGAGGAGCTCTCGGCCCATTTGTGCAGGACTCCTTGTCACGATTACACCGGCCTGAAACAGATATTTCGTGTAGAGTCAATTATTTCATTTCTAAGTTTCTAGGATAATTGAAATTTCAGTTTGAATTTTCCTAAGGAAAAAGTTCAGGTATGATTATGTCGTGTGCTATTATCGTGAATGCTAGTTACATTAATTTAATATTTTTTCAATCTAAACTATTTAGAAATTGTTAAATCATGAGTGTATGATTAAAAAACTAATCATTTTGAAAAAGCTTTTTTCATTCATATAGAATATTGGAAAAGTCAAATAGAGAGGAAAATTCAATGGCTGATTTACCGCAACAACTTGTAAATTATTTCTTTACAATTTTTTTCGTATTCAAGTTGTTTTCCAATGTCAATTAAAAATATTCTTCCAAAATCTTCACAGTTTTTCACTTCTTCTGTATTGGATTATTATAATTTTTAATTTTGGCCCATATCGGACATAAAAATCAATAAATAATTAAGATGGCAAAAATTATTTTAAAAAATTGAATAATACTCAAAAGATAATCGATTGCCAGAGTACGAATATTTCGATTGTGATTGAAAGAAAAAATAGATTCTGAAATTTATCAAATAATAAATCGAAGAATTTCAATGAGCAGAATGAATTTTCGAATAAAAAAAGAAAACAAATCTTTATAAAATTTTGACACTTCAGAGAAATTTCAATTAGTGAATCTAAAATGTTAATATTGGGAATTTTCAGAGTAAACCTTCAAAATGATTATGAAAAAGTGAAAGAAAAGAAGTATTTATGGGGAAATAAATTATTAACCTTTTCGAGGGCATTAATTTTATCCTGAGCTCCACCTTTACCCCCTGAGATGATGGCACCAGCGTGGCCCATTCTACGACCAGGCGGGGCAGTGATTCCAGCGATGAATGAAACGACTGGTTTAGCTTTCGCTCCCTGGAAAAATAATGATAATTCTTATGTATTGTGTCACTTGATTAATACAGAGGATTATTATTGTCTTGAATTCCCTAAGTCCTATTGAAATGAAAGTGAGAACAATAATGAAATAATTATACTCAACCCACAGTGTTATGTTCGATGAGGTACTCAGCAGCAGATTCCTCAGCGCTACCACCGATTTCTCCAATCATGATGATCCCATCGGTACCAGGATCCCTTAGAAATACTTCCAAGCAGTCAATGAAGTCTGTGCCATTGAAAGGATCACCACCGATCCCAACACAAAGGGACTGACCCAGTCCAGTCTACACAAAATCAGAAAATTGTTTCGAACAATTCTTAAACTATTAATCCTAGTTCCCTCACCTTCTTTCTGACTTTTGCATTTGAACTGCTCTATTATGCTCATTAATCGAAGAATAAGTTCAAAAGTAGTTTGGAAAGATTATGGAGTTTGCAAGAATCAAATTGTTTTTTGTCAATTTTTCTACTCAATTATCTTGTAGATATTAGAGAATACAAATGAGTTTGTAACAATCCTCTCGCGTAAAACGGTGCAATGCACTTGATTTCTAGGATTACATACAATTCTTTCGAACAATATTAAAAAACAATCTGTCAAAAAACCCTTAACCCTAACATTTATTGGAATATTTTGAGAAAAATCTGTTCGTAATGTCAACAATTGACTACAATAAACTGAATCTTTGATGCTATAGTTTTGTATTGTGTAAAATGTGATCAATTAACCAAAAATTACGTTCTATTGATTTATAAACCTATAAAATTCAACGCCCAGCATGACCCGGTGATAAACGGAACCTCCAAAATGAACAAACAAATCTAGAATGTTTATAAATGAAAAATTAGTTACCAAAGTTGTTTGATTCACAGCCTCGTACGTCAGCGTCCCAGACCTTGAAACGATACCAATTTTCCCCTTCTGATGAATATGTCCTGGCATGATACCAATTTTACACTGAAGTAACAAAAAAAATACTATATTGTATTATATTCTTCTACGCCTGAAAAAAAACCCAACAATTTGTTTCTGGATTATATGATTATGGTTCCTTGATATAAAGTCATGAACAATTGAGTACCATTTACACCAGATTGTAAATGTGAGATAACTCCAATGAAATATTGTTCTTAATTATGAATTTATATCGGCATCTATCGATTTAATGGGCAAATATCGAAGAACTTGTTCGTTGCTGATTAAGAGTTTTTTTTTTAATGCTTATTTTACATCGCTTCGAGTCGGAGGAGACTATGTGGCGATTGATCAAGACTTTTTTTGAACCTGGTTAGATCTCACCAGTCTACCCGGCCAGGAATAGAACCTGGAACCTATCCGTTGTGAGGCAACGGCCTTAACCACTACGCCAGGCTTCCGGTGTCTGATTAAGGGTGTTGTACACCCATATACAGCCAAAATTAAGGTTTTTTTTTCATTTTTCTGGCAAACTTACTATGGCATTGACGTGAAAATATATAACGTTTTTACGTTTTGTCATTATTTAATGACTCACGAAGTTTCAAAGTTGTGCGAACATTTTTCTACTTTTTTTCTAAACTGTTAAACTGAATCACAAAACGGCAGAGAAAATGCATGAAAATGATCGAATCATCATGAAATTTCGTGAGTCATTAGATAATGAAAAAACTAAGAAGTGTTATATTTTTTCCCATCAATACCATTAATAGTTTTCCAGAAAAATGAAAAAAAACGTGAATTTTGGCTATATGTGTGTAAAACATCCTTAAATTCCGAAGAAAATTTTTGCATTATAAACTTGGCATTATCTCACTACGTCAAAATAATCATTATCCATAAAAAAACTTGATAAAGACAGAGTCTAAATAAGACCCAGTACTTTATGTGGCAATCAAGATTTATATCGTCATGAAAGGTTAAAATGGTTTTTTATTAAACATTGAAATGTAAAAATATCAAAGAACTACTCGAAGTTTCATAAACAACTATTCACTGTTTTGCAGCAAGTTTTTATTGATTTGAAATGAATTCTTCTGATGGAATGTAGTTGAAAAATAAACATACTACTAAAAATATTAAAAAGTTAAATGCACCAACGTTTAGTTGTTCCATTAAATTCTGTACCTGTTCTGGTGCGATGATACCTGGACAATTAGGCCCTATAAGTCTTGATTTATTCTGCTCAAGTAACCGTCTTTTAACCTTAACCATGTCATGCTGAGGAACTCCCTCAGTTATGCAAACAATTAGAGGCATTTCTGCATCGAGTGCCTCCATGATGGCAGCTGCTGCAGCTGGTGGTGGCACATAGATGACAGAGGCTGTTGCACCTGTTGCATCTTTCGCCTAATAAGTCAGGAAAAATCGTCGATCAATTCTTCCGATAGAGAGAAAAAAAGAAACGAAGAAAATTCACCTCCTTCACTGTTTTATAAACAGGCTTTCCCAAGTGTTCAGTTCCAGCTTTTTTCGGGTTAACACCCCCCACGACTTTTGTCCCATAGTCAATCGCCTGTTGACAATGGAAAGTTCCCTGTTTACCAGTGAATCCCTGACAGATGACTTTAGTATTCGAGTCAATCTTCAGGTTTTTCCTCGTCTCTGTGTAATTGAATCTAACTTGTGCATTGATGAGGCTGTTTGGTCTCCGAACTGAAAATAGAAACCTCAATCAATTAATTATCCTCCGAATACTTCACACAAAAAAATATTTCCAAAACTACAATGGCAAAATGGAGACATGGCATTGTTTTTCAAAGTTAGAAAGCGTATTGAATTGTTGATACGATGGAATGTGTTTTCCTTGCAGAATGTTCTCGTTTCTCTCCATAATAACTGTAGATTATTTTCTGAATATTTAACGAGGCTTATTTTACATTCTCCCAACTTTGGACTTCTTATCTCAACAATTTATGTCATATCTCAAAGTATCGGCGAGATGAGCTCAAGTGAAGATGAAATACTTTGTAAGTAATAATGGTTTCCTATCAGTTCAGACTGAGCTCGATCCTCAAATACTTTCAAATTACCAGCATAGATGAATATTGATGTTTTTCTAAAATTTCATGAAATCCAGAATAAGTTGCAGGCTAGCTGAAAGAATGTAAATATTCGACAAGCCCAATATTTCCATTAAGAGTTTTAAGTATGTCACAAAAACTCATTGGGACATAAAGGTATTTTTAAATAACAATGTGGATCAGAGCTCGATTGACTTTAGCGACGATTTTGTCAGTGTTTCAAGGGCAACAATGTCCATGGTACACTGCCGTTTGGTATCGAGGTCATGGGCACCGCAAATAGCCATCCAAAGTGAGAATCAAAACGTCTGTCATCTGTCGTCCAACAATTGCTATTAATTGTACTTAAATATTGCCCCAGCGCTGATAACAATCCTCTTCCTCAGGCCTCTCAGAGTACTGACAAATATCTAAACGAAATCTCCATTAATTCATGAATCGAAAAATAAATATTCAATGACTATGACCTTCTTATATAATAAAATGTTTAGGACCGGTCTGGCACCTATTTCTGATTATTTCAACGACTTTTACACCTCTATATATAGACAATGATAATGATGGAGAATGAGATGATGTGTACACAAGTAATGCAAATACTCAATTACACATAAATCATGAAGGTTCAAAGTATGAAGAAC